CCTTTAGGTTCTTGTTCTAGTCTTAAAAATTTTGTTCTGAGTTGTTCTACGCGGTTAGAAATATGTTCTAGATCGACAGTTTTGTAAGTCATTTTGTTTACGAATAAATGGCCAAAAACTGTTATTTTAAAAATTTTTCTTTTTCCAATATCTCTTAAAATTTTTAACCAATCAAACTAATACTTTGGAACAATGTTTGGAACAACTAGAACAATCTGTAGCGATAAAAAAATTTCGATTTTTGATAAAAGGGGGGCCAGCCAAAAAAATTGTTTTTTTTATTTTATTAAAAAACTGTTGAGAATTAAGGAATATCGTTTTGGAACAATGTAGTACAAAGTCAGAACAACCTGGAACAACTTTCAAAAATATAAATTTCAAAAAAAGGGGGGCTAACTTCATACACTCGAAGAGGAGAGGCGTCAGTTGGCAACGCTGCGCATGAGTTCTCACGCGTGAAGTTAACTTCTTATTTTTTTAATGTTTTTGTAATATTTTGTATATAAACAAATTAACTTCAGTAAAATAAAATTTCTTTTTAAGCATGAATACAAGTTGAGCACGACTGGAGCCGGAGAAACGTCTTTAATAACAAAGACTGCAAATTTAACAAAAAGTAATGAGCCTGTATATGTACTATACTATTATATGTATATTATATCACATGTATATTTATTTGTACATTTATATCATACGCATATCATTTATATGTTATTTGTACATCATGTATGTATGCATTAGGGCTCCTAAGTATTCGGATAAAATGACTATATCCAGGTACCCAGGTATCTAAGATCGATTGTGATCGGGATTTCAGAACCGCATTATTTGGGTTATCTAAATTTGCGTTATCGAATCTTATGAAATAAGGCTGATGGCAAAGAACGAGACGTAAGCGCTTACATCTGTAGTAGTCGTAGACATGAAGTAAGGTAGAGAAAAACGTAAGTGGTGACAAACTTTTGTACAATAACCTTTTCTCTCTGACTTACTTTACGTCTACAACTATGACAGACATCTAGTTCTCTGTCATCAGCTTTACACGAATATTTGAAGAGTCGGATCCGAATTAAGTTCGCGACGAAGTCGGCTGGAGTCGTAGCAACCAAAAGATCCCTCTCATATTATGCATCTTTAATTAACTCAATTAAGGTAGCTGTCTCGTCAGGGCATGTATTAGATAAAGTTTCCGATTTCGGTTTTTATATCAAATTATATGATCAGGCTTTGCAGTCGATTTTTTCTGTGGCTCCTTACCGACTATTTACTCTAGAAAATCGATCTCGAAAATCACAAATTTTGCATTACTTCATACAGAAAAGAAGGCTCTATCACGGTTTCAATCACATATTTTCGTATTTTTCTATTAGATGAAGTGAGAAAAAAACATTGCTTTTTGTACAATAGATTTCGAAGAATCCGATGCAACCATAAAATATATAAGTTACCGGAAATTTCGCTGCTAATTTTTTAGTTTATTTTAGTGAAAATGCGGTAATCGAGCAGACATTTTTTGGTCGAGGTGAGGTTGGGAAGACTTGGCAACGCCGCTGGCTAATCACTGTAGTTGCAGGTTATGGGGCTCGTCTTTCTTAGCCGAATTGGATAGTGATTGACACCTCTGTCATGCGTTTTGAAACCCTTTCTCAGTAATTGTCAAAATTCAATCGAAAAGGAGATGTAACCTCACTTGTAACCTTTAACCTCGACGACTCGCATGATCAGCTGATCAAAACGGAGTCAAATGAGAAAAATCACATAATTTGGAAAAAGTAACATACTCTGTCACATATGAAATTTTACACCATAATTCATGAAATTATTTTTTCTTTAGCAAAAATTGCCTGAAATATATTTCTGAACGTAAAAACCTACAAACAGTCACATGACTAGCACGTAGCGAGACAGCTACCTTAAGGGGATCCTTGGAGTGACAGCGACACTGACATTATCGGTCTAAGCAATATCTTTGAATTGGCTGAACAGAATGGAAAATCTTTTTACACGATTAAAGTACGCACAAAGATGTAGAGGGCTGTACATCATTTTGTCTAATAAACTAAAAAAAATGTTATTTTTATAAATATCGTCCTAACCTGACGACAATATTTGCTTTATACAAAAAATCTGCAGTTTTTTTATAGAAAATAGTGATACAGCCCTCTACAAAAAACTGTCAGGAATAATATCGTGCAATTAGAAGTAAGATTTGAAGCCTAAAAAAAAGACATTACTTAGGACCAGTGGAAGATGCAAGGTTAGGTGCTCTGTATGTATGTGTAAAAATCGGTGAGCACTTCTTTATCGACGCTGATCGAGTTCGGCTACGGCTCCAGCATCCCCTTAAAAATAACGTGTTCATTGGCCACGTTTATAGCAGAATGTTTATTTGCAACTGTTGGAAGTTTTCTAAGCTCAGATTGGATTATTCCTCTAGATCTAAAAAAATAATCCAATCTGAGCTCAGAAAACCTCCAATAGTTGCAAAATAAACGTTCTACTGAACACAGCCATTTATTTATAAATTTTAATAACCCAGACAGCACGCATGTCCAAAAGCGGGACATAAGACATCTAAAAGACGTCTAAAAGATGTCTTATGTCCCGATTTTGGACATGGTGCTGTCTTGGAAGTAAGCAACGTACTTTTAGCAGCATGCGTACAGATCAGTAGCAAATTTGATCAGAATCTTCCTAACCATAGCCATCTGTGTACGCATTGAGCTCGTGTTCTGTTAATAGAGCCTGCAGGCAATGTGAGCAGGTCAATCTGTCGCATTTCTGGCAACAGTTTGACAACATGCATTATCTGATACAGCAGCTTCTGTGTGAAATTTGTTGCCTTTCTGACATGAAAAATTTATTGAAAGACCTGCTCAGAATTTTTCTGCGCAGGTTTGGCTATCAGAGTTAATTTTTACGTTATAAAATCTGTAGAAAAAGCTTTAATAGAAATAACCTTGAACGAATATATAAAAACGATTTTAGTTAAATAACAAATAATTTAGTATTAAATAAAACATATAATTAGTAAATAATGTTCTATACCTACCTTTAAGATGTATTAAAAAACGTAGATCATATTTTTTATTTTCGATACTATTTCTCTCTCTTTCTTCCCTCCCCTCCTATTCTCGTCCCTTCCCTTTCTCTTCTCTTTTAAACGGAAATGCTTTGAATTAAACTTACAAAGGCAGAAGCTTGACACAATATATATAGCTGGTTTACATTACAATAATCATTTGAATGTTATATAAAGAGTCGATAAGTGACAAGAATCATTTCTCCGCTGAACTAACACGACTCATAGTGATACTGCGAACATTTAAGACCAGGTACAGTATGATAAGTAAAAAAATAAGTATATAAAATACATAGCACTTTTCTAGATTGTCCGAAAAAACAATCGAAATCATGGATGGCACAGAAGCATGTAGATCGTGGAACGGTATTGACTCCGACGAGGAGATTGTTATTTCTGGTATTGCTGGTAGATTTCCGGATTCAGACAATATGAATCAGTTACGAGAAAATCTATTCAATAAAAAAGACCTTGTTAGAGCAGATCATGGGCGATGGAAGACAGGTGATTGATTCATACGATACGAGTACCGCATTCATACTTGATTAGTGGATAGAGGATATATGCTATCCCTTCTGCAATATTAGTTACACATGCCGACATCAACTTTGATCCTGAGATTTAATTCTCAATATTTGTTTCCGAAGGATTTCTGACATGCTGAAACCGAATCCGTTGCCCGCATTGTTCTATCACATCAGGTTTCGAAGATATCTATACCTAAAAGTGTCAATAAAGTTATTTTTCGGCTTCATTAGGTTGAAATAACTGTAAAATACGTGTGTTAGGCTCATTTTCTCATTTTGTGGCCTTTTCTAAGGCAGATTGAAGTGACATCATTAAAAAAAGTCAATAGTTTTTCCAAGCATTAAAGAAACTTCTTAAAAAATTTCTAAACTGTACAAAGTAAAGATTACTTTAAAAAATTTACTAATTTTTCACATACATTTGATACGTTTCTTTATAAGTATTTTGTTATATATCTTTCATATAATTTTTTTCCACAATAATATGAAAGGTTAACGGCCAATAACGAGCATGAAAGTTGTTAAATTCAATAAAGACTTATTGTTACAAACAATTAATTAATTAGGAACGTTTCGACAACACAGTGCTTTCTTCAGCCAAAATGAATAAAATATACAAATATCGCAATTCAATATTAAATTCGTCACGAGTTACAAGTTTCCACATCTAAGTAATAAATAGGAACATCAAATAAATACTGAACAGAAAAAATCGGAATCGCTGTATATTTGTGAGGTCCTTAATTGTAAAATGTAGTCCAATGATAAAATCCATGGTTGATTCTTCAGTCGGAAGTGAGAATAAATTTAGTCAATCATCGATGGAAGCTCGTCACAAGCAAGGGTTAGATAAATAAAATTAAAAGTGTGTATATATACTGTAAATTAAAGAGACTTATTGTAAGAACGAGAAAATGTAAATGAATTTGATACGAATATACATACTAAGCATATAATAAGAAATTAAAAGCTCTGAATTGTTGCGAAGGGACCGTATCGTGTCGAATCTTGTACGTGACTGAGCCACTGTTTATTACAAGTGTTGATTGACAATAAAGGTCGTATATAAACATATAAATAACTCCCTAGAAATTATTATTGAATTTGTTGAGAATATTAAAGTTAAGACCCAATCCAATATAATTCAGTATCATTATTAGAATTAATACCATTTTTCTGTTTTTTGATGTGTATCATATGTTATAACTTTAGCGCAAATTGGGCCGTGTAAACGTAGTCATTTATTTGAAGTCAATGCAACAGTTCAAAATTCTTTGTAATTTGGACTTAGAAATAACGTTGGTAGTATATTAATTTTCTGTTGTTATGTTATAAAATGTTATTGTTTTATATTGTATGCAACGCTTGTCGCGTCAGCCATGTACATTATCCTACATGCGATGATCGAGTGAGTGCGTATACACGTGTGTGTATCGAGCAGTGCGCAGTGCTTTTTATTTACAGCATATTTATATATAAGTAACTATAATCGCGAGTTTCAAAATCCAAAATCTCCGGGTTATTCCAATTAAAGCATGTAATTCAAATTTAGCATATGCTTTGTGATAACTGAATGTTTTAATGGATCCAATTTATAGTTGTTTTTGATTTTTAAAAGAATCAACTTAAGATTAAACACATTATTCAATGGTAAACTTAAACAGAACAGTATTGAAGATATTATTGTCGATAACGATGAGGTCGATGAGAATGATTCAGATGACAAAAGAAGACAATCCCGTTTATTAGCAATATTTCTGGGGAAAAAAAAAAAAAAAAAAACACAGCTCATCTACCCTGGCAGAAATATTTCTACAAAATTTAAAAAAATAAAAAATAAAAGTGTACTACAAAAAACTATAAAATATAATTGCCAGAATCTATTAAATTCTACATGAATTTAAGAAGTACTACAAAATCCTACATGAAAATGCTAGAATTGGAACACTTTTGTAAATTTTTGTATTTTTTTAGTGCATTTTGATCTATAAATTTTTCGGTAAAACTACGCCAAACTACAACTAATACTGATATTCTACACATTTCTATATCTATTTGAGTACAGTAGACTACAAGGAAATACTAGAATTAAAACACTCTCTAATGAGAAAATTTACCTGACATAAAAAAAAATTATATTTATTTTGAAATTTTATTACTACTTTTTAACTAAATTTGTTTCTTAAGATGCAACCTATGATTATAAATATTTTCTCATACTTGAAAAACACACTTACTTTGATGGGATTCGAACTCGAGACCTCGGGACCTCTGGATTGTGAGCCAACCGTCTTACGTGGTAGACTACTTCTTAATTTGATGTAAGTGTTATATATAGTCTACATGTGTAATAACCAGCGCAAATATATAATTTTTCAAAAATTCTTAAGAAACAAATTCAGTTTAAAAAGAGTAATAAAATTTCGAATCGGATATACGAATATAATTTTTTCTTAATGTCGGGTGAATGTCAGAAACCAGTGTCTTGACGTAGAACTACGTCTTTCCTGGAGGGTGAGGGGTAATTTCGGGTGCACGACTGCAATGTTTTCTTGCAACGTTTTCTTTCAACGTTTTCTTGTAACGTTTTCTTGCAACGTTTTCTTTTTCTCAAAAGGTATTAAAGGAAAATATACTTTATTATAGTGTTTTTGAGGGCTCTCGATGTGAGCTAAATGTTCCTGCAATTTATTTTGGTGGTTTTTTATAACCGATTTTCTTGTTTTTCTTGCAACGTTTTCTTGCAACGTTTTCCGCGAACTACTCATTTGTTAATAAACCGAATTTTAAAGAATTATATATAAAACAGGGGTAGAATTTTCCGGGAATGGCAGTAGTGGAGTTAATTTTTTGATACCGATTTTTTTTAAACCGGTTGCGTAGTTTTCGATGCCAATGTGTTTCTTATGTTCTAAAACGTCGAAATATCGCATTAAAAAAATGCAAAATTGTTAATAATAAATACCGATTTCTGTTTAAAAAAACAGCCAAACTTACCAAAATTTCTATAACTCAAGAACTGATTAACTAAATTTTAAATAATTAATATGAAATAGGGGTAGAAAAAACTGAAGAATATACTAGAATTAATAAAAATTGTTTTGTTTACTTTAGCATTGTCTCAAAAAAAAAATCATCAAAAACTAAAAAAATAAACGGGCACATTAACAACTGTGCTGCAAACAACGTAGAACTACGTCAACTGTCACTATTTCATGTTAAAGTATTTAGCGAAGGAAAGTAGATGTAGGGCTACGTTAACAGTCTTTCGCTAAATAATAGTGACAGTTGACGTAGTCCTACGTCTACTTTCCTTCGCTGAATACTTTAACATGAAATAGTGACAGTTGACGTAGTTCTACGTTGTTTGCGGCACAGTTGTTACTGTGCCCGTTTATTTTTTACTTAATTAAATTTTTGACTCTTGAATGATTGTAATTTCGCATATAATACTACAAGGTCCTATAGAAAACGACAAAATTCTTAAGCCTTTTACGAATTGTGAATCCATGGAAATCTACATGTATTCGCTTTTTTAGATTTTTATAAAATACTACAATTTTCCATGGAAAGGTTGAAGGTTTGGTTGAAGGTCTGTTAATTTCCATGTAAAATTGTAGTATCTTATAAACATCTAAAAAAAACAAATTTATGTAGATTTTCATGAATTCACGAGTTGTAAAGGCTGATCTACAATGTGCTCTTTGCTTTCTGTTTTTTGCTCTTAACCTCTTTGCGACTATCTCGTATTTCGCAATTCCGTCGCGTAACGTGATGTTTCTTGTCTCTTCTGAAGTTCGTCAATTTTTATCTTAAGCGACAGAGAACAAAAAACATCGCGTTACGCGACGCAATTGCGAAATACGGGACAGTCGCAAACAGGTTAAGAGCAAAAAACAGGAAGCAAAGAGCACATTGTAGATCAGGCTTAAAAGGCTTAAGGATTTTGTCGTTTTCTGTAGAACCTTGTAGTATTGTATGCAAAATTACAACCATTCACAAATCAGAAATTTATATAGGTAAAAAATTGTACATTTGTGTATTTTTCTATTAGACTTTATAACAGGCTATACAAAAATAAAAACATAAGTATTTTGACTTCTGCGAATTAAGAAGTTATTAATAATAGATGAATTTTGGAAGATTTGTGTAAAAACTTGTAACATTTAACTAAAAATTACAAATTTTAATTAGCCATAATTGTAATAAATTTTTGAGCTGTACAAACAAATCGGTATTTGTTAGTATTTGTACGCAGTTGTAGTATTTTATGAGAAACTAAAAACTGAATTAGATTCTAAGTTGCATAGTTTTACGATACGTAAATTGTAGTAGATTTCTATAGTCATTTATAAATAATTGTAGTATTCTACAAGTAAGCAGATGTTTTAATTTTTTAAGATTTTTTTTCTTCTTAAATTTTTAATGTAGATCTTTGTACTATTTTTTATAAAATTGTAATTTTTCATAAAATACTACTTGCAATAATTTCTTGATTTGAGAACATTGTAATTTGTGGTATTATTTCGTAAATATTTCTACAAAAAAATAACCATTTCTACAACAAATTAAATATTTCAACAAAAATGTACAAATTTCTATTTCTAGTCAAATTTTGTAGTTATTCATAGAAATTTTTTCCGCCAGGGTATTTGATAAAAAAGAATATATAATAGGTTATAGAGTTCTCAATAAATTGGATAAATTTATTTTTTTTTAAACACACAAAGATATTAATTCTTTGTGCTCAAATAATAATGTAATTTATTGCGACGCCTCTTATGTCGGGCAAACAAGACGACAATTGAAAACAAGAATTAATGAGCACAAAAACAATTATAAATTGGATCCATCAAAATTTGAATCATGCTAAATTTGAATCACACCTTTAATTGGAATAACCCGGAGATTTTGGATTTTGAAAGTAATTACCACAAACGACTTATCTCAGGGATGATACACATCAAAGAACAGAAAAATGGTATTAATTCTAATAATGATATTGAATTATTGGATGGGTTTTACTTTAATATTTTCAACGAACTCAGTAATAATTCCTAGAGAGTTATTATATGTTTATATACGATCTTTTATTGTCAACCAACACTTGTAATAAATAGTAAAAGGTTCAGTCACGTACAAGATTCGACACGGTACGGTCCCTTCGCAACAATTCAAAGCTTAATCTCTTATTATATGCTCAGTAGGTATGTATATTCGTATCAAATTCATTTACATTTTCTCGTTCTTACAAGTCTCTTCAATTTACAGTATATACAGTATATTTTAATTTTATTTATCTACTGACTCTTGCTTGTGACGAGCTTACATCGATGATTGACTCCGTAATCAA